TATATATATATAGTATATACATTTGTATGCATATATAAATCGACACATTTGCGTTGCATTGGAAACGTTTGTATTGAAATATCATATCATATGTACAAGTCAGAATACAAAATTCGTTTTCTCGCCGACATTCATATCCCCGTCGCGATTCGTAAATGGATTCGTATTCCCAGGGCTTAGATAACCGCTCGATCGTCAATGCGTCCAACGAAGTTTCTTTCTTTTTCATCCATGATAATGCTGTTAAAATGTATTTTCGAGTATCCTTTTACTCTTATTCTTATATTCTTCTTACTCTTTTCTCTCTTTGGAAACAACGAATGTATGGTATATTATGTTTATGTATTATAAATATGTGTGTGTGTGTGTGTATTGTATATAATTTGTTTTAATTAATTATAATAACAAGTTCTATGAGTAATGTTAATCATTACTTCCAGGATTATACGATAACAATGTACTTAAATCAATATTGGAAGGACGAGAGACTCGCCTTTTCGCACGAGGATGAGGTCCTGACATTAAGTGGCGATTTCGCAGAAAAGATTTGGGTTCCGGACACGTTTTTTGCCAATGATAAAAATAGGTAATTATGATGACAAGTTATATGACGTTTCAATATCTTCAAACATTTGTAATTATTTTAGTTAAAAAAATTTTATTTAAAAGTATCTTTCTTTTTAATAATCTTCTCAGTTTTGCCTTAACTGATCATTTTGCCGAATTTATTGCAGCTTTCTGCATGATGTTACTGAGCGCAACAAACTCGTTAGATTATCTGGTGACGGCTCGATCACATATGGCATGAGATTCACAACGACTCTGGCCTGCATGATGGACTTGCATTACTATCCCCTCGATTCACAAAATTGTACAGTTGAAATTGAAAGCTGTACGTATTAAAATATACATACATTCACAATCATTCTAATATTATCTATCAACATTCTCTTCTCATAAATATTTATGCTTTTATATAAAAAGATAAAAAACTACGATACACTTATTTTTCTTTAGATTTTAAAAATGAATATTTTAAAAGGTCAATTTTTTAAAGAATATTTCTTATCTTTTTTTTAATTAAATTTTTTATACATTTACATTTCGGAAATATCACAAATGTTATTAATTGGAATAATGTTATCTAGGATATATATGAAAATATAATTGTATATATGGATCAATGAAAGAATACTCAGTTTTGTAATGCACATGAATTTATATGAATAAATGAAATAATGAAGTACAAATTATTCTAAGTTACGCTGTTCTAAATACTCAGATGGATATACGGTACTCGACGTACTAATGTACTGGAAAGAAACTCCTGTTCATGGAGTCAAGGAGGCGGAATTGCCACAATTTACTATACTCGGCTATGAAACCAACGATCGAAAGGAGAAGCTGGCGACGGGCATCTATCAGAGGCTCTCGTTAAGTTTCAAACTTCAGAGGAACATCGGATATTTTGTTTTTCAGACGTACCTTCCAAGTATACTAATCGTGATGCTCAGCTGGGTCAGTTTTTGGATTAATTACGAAGCTACTAGTGCGAGAGTGGCTCTCGGTACGTTTTAAAAGTAGTTCCGTTATAAATTGTTTAAAATTAGATTAAATAAATTTTTAACTTTCCGATTTTTATTTTCTAATAAATTGTCAAGAAAAATTTTTTCTTATTGTAGGCAAATGTAATAAAGGATGTATAATATATCATTCTTTTTTTTTCAGGTATCACGACCGTATTAACAATGACAACAATATCGACAGGTGTTAGAAGCTCACTGCCACGGATTAGTTACGTGAAAGCCATTGACATCTATCTGGTAATGTGCTTCGTTTTCGTGTTCGCGGCCTTGCTGGAATACGCGGCGGTCAATTACACGTATTGGGGCGCCAGAGCAAAGAAGAAGACTAAGAAGAAAGAGACAGAGGAAAAGAAAATATTATCTTCTAAGACAGGTAAGTCGAACCAAATATGGAATCAATAATTTTGTGGCGATTACATGGCTCGTGTTAAATAAGATTTCCGGCTGGTACAAATATGTGTGTGTGAGATAAATGTCTCAATATTTCTTATCTAAGTTTTTATAAATTAAGATCGCAGATGAATTGTCTTTTGCTTTGGCATATTTATCTCTACTAAATTGTATCCATAAAAATAACTAAACAAGAAATTAACTATCTAACGATTAACAATTTATTAAACAGTTATTTCAATATTTTTTTTTAAAACAAAACATTTTTTCAAAGAAAATATTAAGTACAAGATAAAAAGAAAGTTTTAAAATGTCTGTAGATAGAAGCAAGTACAAAGAGGAGCAAGGAGTCACGTAGCATAGATAAGCACATACGTGTAATCATAACGACGCTATTAAAACAATTTAAATAATCTGTATAAGTACACGTTTAACAATTTTATTTAACCGATCGTTGAAATCACCCTTCAATGCTACCAAAATTTTAACTTTATATTTTTTGCTTATTCGATCAATCCAATTTTGTTTTAGGGAGCAAAGTCAGTTCGCCTTTTCCTGGCTCCACTGACGCGGATATTATAGAGCTTCAGGACCTCAGATTGTCACCTCTTCCGAGCATTAGAAATAGATCAGGCATAGTCAGCGCTTCATCGACATTGGGAGCTGGAAGGGATCATGACCCGGCCAAGTTTCCGCCGAGTTTTCGTATGTCGAGGACTGCAACTTACAACACGCATAGTCGAAACAGCGGTCTTAGATACAGAGGCCCGAGATCGCATAAACCAAAGGTATTCAAAAGCATGTCCTAGACAAACGCAGCTGTACAGAAAATACTTGAGGATATATTCTCAAACATTTTCGCTGTGTACTTTTGAATTTCACATTTTTTTTTAATAAAAAATTTATATTTAATTAAAAAATATAAAACCGCACAAAATGAAGAGAATAATCAAAGTCATTCCTAAATTTGTAAATTGCTTATAAAATTTAAATTTAATTTATATATATGTATTTGAGTTTAAAAAATTACAATTTTGGATCTTGTAGATGTTACACGCTCTACGTAGAGGAGCTTCCGTGTTACGTGTATCGATGCCGAAGATCAAGGATGTGAACGTAATAGACAAGTACTCGCGGATCATCTTCCCAGTTAGCTTCATGTTGTTTAACGCCGTGTACTGGATCTTCTATTTCTTCTGAGCAGCGAACGAATATTAAAATCTAAATTTTGCTCGACCTCGTATACGCCTAAAAAGGACCAATCGATTCGGGAGGATTCTTTCAAATTTTCTTTAGCATGAACATTTAATATCGAACAATGTGCGATATTTTTCACGGGGAATAATTTTCAAATTAAAATTTGAATTTAAATTTTCAAAGGTCCACCGAATACTAGCAGGTGATGAAAGTACTGAATCGAAAGTACTGCCACGAAACATTTATCAATAAAAATAGAACAGCGGGGGCTCGTGTGTGCCAACAGAGATTTTCGTTGATTAGAAAAATATATATATATATATATACACACACACATACACACACACACACACACACACACACACACACACACACATAAATAACAATAAGCAATACGAACGAGCGACAATATGTTCCTAATGAAGCATGATAACTTTGTCATGTTCGTACGAGAAGGGTCAATAGGCGAATGACAAAGTTTGTGGTGTGATATTGAGAAACAAAATGTATCGATTTGAGATACTTGTGTTCGTGATGATAAAAGTGATCTAAGTCGTATATTTTATTCCCGAAATGATTTCTATATATTAAACAATCATTTATTACACGTCAAAAAAATTACTTAATGATTTAATAAAGTGATGACACCTAAAATACCTTCTACACTGTTAATTTTTTCTTAATTAAATAAAGAAGAATAAACTAATTCAATTTTCTTTCCTAGTCTTCCAGATATTAGATTTAATAATAATGTTTGATAGAGTCCAAATTTTACATTCTATATATCGCTCATTTATTTTAAAAATAATATAATTAAAAAAATTAAGTTTCCCGCGCGGAAAAATTAGGTGTACAAATAAGTTTAGTCCGTTTTTTGTGTTCAAAAATGCATTTATTTCAAAACAAAATGAATGAACAGATTAATTAAAGTATTGTCCATCGCTGGCTACTACTTTTTCCCATCTCTCAGGCAATTTTCGAATTCTATCTCGAAAAAATGACTCGTCTGGAGGCGATCATCTTTTGGAAAACGGACCGAACTAATTGTATTCCCAATAAAAAAACTTTTTTAACTCGACCGAAAAGTATATTGACTAAATCAGCAGAAAGAATGTATTCTTAACATGATTAATTGTCATTTTTGTGATAAAGCTAAAGCTATTACTTTAAGCTATTAAAGCTATTATTTTTTACTTTTAAGCTATTACTTTTATATTTGTGATATTGGTTTACACACTTTAGTTCACTTTCATGGATCTCAAGGGTTCGCTTTTATGCAAAATGGTTCTCTGGCCCTCAACTTCACCAAATAGAGTTAAGGGAGATGTTAAAAGTGCGTATAAATAACAGATTAAATTATAAGTTCAAATAAAGCGACTGATAAAATAAAAAGAGAATTAGATATCAGTATAAATGATAATTTATAGAAATACATTGAAAATATAATGAATTGGCAATAAATACAATTCATTCTACACATTATAAATTATTTTCTTAATTGTCATTTTTCATTCATACAATTTGTAAATATGAATTATATCAGATATCATTACGTACAAATATAAAAGATATTTTTTTTTAAACAACAAAATTATAATAAAATGTTCAAAAATTGTCATGTAGAGAGAGAGTACATTTGTGGCTTAATGACAATTTCTACATACATAATTTTAAGAAATAAATATAGCTACATAAAAATAGAATTAATATAATGAATAAATATACTATATAATAATTCGAGCAATTAAACATATACCGCGAATAGATCTATAGATATATAAAAATTTGTTTTTATTATTTTACAGTGAGACATACATGTAATTTCGAGAAATCTTTATTTTTCAGAAGTAAATATTTATTAGAAAAAAGCATATGTAAAATAGGATATTCTCTATTAACAATTGGCTAAGACACTTATTGATTTATAATGTAAGAATATTCAAACTTCCGTTTGTCAATTATGTTACAGACAAATAGACATATTTTTAACAATTCAATTTGACGAATTGTTTTTATAATAATTAAATGTACGTATATATATATATATATAACGAGCAATTTAATAAAAAATAAGTGTACAAATATACTATATTTTTATATTATTAACAATCCATCTAAAACTTTTAATATCCCATTGAAATTAGTAATATTTTTTTAAATTATGATCATTTCTTATTTGTGTGACTTTCTCATAACAGTAACTTGTTATATATAATTTAATTTAGAAATTTAGTGTAATCCCTTAATATTATTTCATATATGGCTCCTATTATAGACTCTTAATCAAAAAATATGACTATATGTGAACTATTATAGACTCCAAAAATACGACTATAAGTCTATGTTGGAAATAACTACATTAAAATTACAAGATAAACCCAAAAAATAAAAGAAAATATTTTATTTAAAGATTCTATCTTTTAAAGAAATTGCTTATTATAATCTCTATAATAATCATATGATTGTACACTTATGCTCTTCTAATTTATAAAAGTATAAAATTTTTTAATTTGTATTTTTAAGTTTATAATGCTTGATATTACAGGCACATGTCTTAATAAGTATACTTATGTATACACTTATCCTACAAATACACAAGTTTTCTTCTCTTTATCAAAACCTGCATGATCATGTTCTCATCACATATATGGTGTATTATAAACTTGATAGTATATTATAAACTTAAAAAAAATATTTATATATCTAATGTGATATCTTTTAATATTATCAAAATATTTTTGGCTCTTATCCGATTTTATATTGTATACTTTATAATACTATATCATATCTCATAAAAATATCATAAAATGCACAAGATTAGAGATCCTATAAAATATGAGCGTTACCTTGTGATAACTGATATAGAATTTGGTATTTAAAAAATACCATGCTATGCATTCTGTTGTTTTAAAATATACGTTGCAAAATCATGTACTTCACACGTGAACAATATTGCTCCCATGCATATCCATAGCGCATCTGACAACGTTTATTATCTCTCACAGCTCTGTAAGCGAGTACTAACGTGCAACAGATCGCGGTATAGTACGGTAGAATGTCAATTGTCCAAACAATACTGGCGATAGACCATTGCATTATAATGTCACCCAAATAATTGGGATGTCTCACATGACCCCATAAACCGGACAACATCAACTTCTTTCCACGTGACGTCGGAATGGTTTCCAAATCTATAAATTTTTTAAATATATATTTATTTTGAGAGAGAGAGAGAGAGAGAGAGAGAGAGAGAGAGAGAGAGAGAGAGAGAGACAAAAAAGGAATAATTTTTTCTATCCTTATACTTACAAGGTACTGTTGGCGAAATTGGATTTTTTCTGAACTCGTCTTTCCGCGAATTACTAATCTTATACAGAGCATATCCCATTATAAAGCTCAAAATAGATAAGCCAACAAAATAGTCAAGTTTTAGCCTGAAAATGTATTAAAAAGAAAATATTAAAAAATATTTTAATAAAGCATTAATATAACATTTATTTATTAAACTTACTTCTGATATAATATAAATCTTGTAGTGAGAGTTGTTAAGAATGGATACAATAAGTGACTAACACATGTCATGTACCCAGTTCCTTCGTACATTATTGTGAAAGACGTAAAGATAGTAGCTTCGTATATTAATCCATGTATTATATAAAATAGCTGTAACAAGACAGCTAATAATGTAGCTACATCAATTTTCTCAATATTTGGATTCTTTATATTATCAACAGCTTTAAGCGCGATGGCTATGTTCACAATCAACTACAAAATAGAGAATATAATAATACTTACATTCAACTTAATTATTTTATTTTATATAATCCATGTGAAAAATAAAAACATAAAATTACCGTGCCAATAAGAGAAGCTCGTATTAACAACAGTTTAATATCCAAAGTGCCAATTCGTGGATTAATCTCTTTGCCCTGCCAAAAATTATATATCTTGCTGTTGGTTGATGCATATATATTCAGATTGATTACTGGTGCTCTTCCTGCCTTAATATACAATCCCACAGCTAAAATCGTTCCCACAATCCATCCACTTATTGACAACTGCACAATATTATTCAGAATGTATTCACTGATCGGTACTTTCATGTATACACATAAACCAAATCCTGTTATAGCCACTATAGCACTCAAAAAGCCTGAAAAATGTCAGAAAAATATTAAAATAATAACATAATTAAAAATTACATTATATTAAAAAAATGTACCATTTATACGATATTCAAGTCTCCCAATTCTGTTCTGCTGCCCGTACGATATTTTCCCAATCGGTATAATCGAAATACAAGTCAATAATGTTAAAAATGCAACGTAAGACAGCAATGTATATAAATTTATATAAGATTTCACATCGGTAGAAAGCTTTATAAGTGAAGATTTGCATTGTCCTCTCGAGCATAAGAGTTGTGGTAAGATTACGGATATCGGTAATATAAATGTGAGAAAAAATGTTCCAATCCATCCACCCCATTCTTGAGGTTTGTCGACTCTATTTATTTCTTTCTCACGTTTTACTACTGTTTCCCATTTTTCGCTTCCATGCAAAGGTTTTGTTATATCCTGAAACAATTATTGATATAATACATACCGTTCTATTGTAAAGCTTAAAAAGGGGAATAGTTAGAACAGAGTATTAGTAATTAATTATCAAAATGTACTTGATCTCTTTGCATTGAGTATCCTCTTTCTTTTTCTCCCGGAGGATAATCTTGTACGTAACTTTTCCTTTCCACCGGAAGCGAGACGGCTCTGTCAAGACTTCTCAGTATAGCTGATTGAAATTCATGTTCAGTTTTTAGAAGCGTCGGTCTGCGTGTTACAGTTATAATTTCCTTCAAGCGTTGCTGTAGAGGCAACGACTCAGTTGGACTCTCCTGCAGTGTCTTTGCGTTACTTCCTTTATGATTGCTTGTTTTATCTGTTTATGAATGGGAACGAATTTGCATGAGTATCAGAAGACGAGTGACAAATGTTACATACCACACAAAGCTTACTTACCGCCTTCGACATCTATGCGAGATAGAGATATCTTAGCGAGACGCGTGTTACGAATAGGTAATTTTCTTGATGTGAATATTGGTGATCTCCCAGGGGATTTACCTGATTGTCTTCCAGGCGATCGTCTGCTTGGTGACTTCCTGCTAGGAGAGTATCTTGTAGGGCTTTTTGTTGTTCTCCTGCTTGTTCTGGTTGAGGTTCTCCCTAATCTCTCAGCCTTCAAGAATAAAATATTATATATATAAAAGATAAAACTAGCTGCAAATTGATTTTATATTCTTTATTCTCTAAAACTTTTAGAATAAATGAGAACAATAGAAATGACATAGACTACAAGTCTAAGCTAGGACGTGAAATGCTATTTAATATAAACAAAATGTAAAATACAAAAATTACAAATGTTTTTCCTCTCATCGAGTCATCAGTATAAACAATATTTAAAGTACAATATGTAAAGTACAGTTACATATAGAAACGTTTGTAATTTTACATTTTGTTTATATTAAATAGCATCTCACATGCTAGCTTAGATTTGTAATCTATGTAATTTCTATTATTTTTAAAATAAATATTGTAAAGAGTAAAATCTTACTTTTAAAAGTTAAAAATTAAGCCATTCTTTTTCTAGACTAGCTCAATTTTTACTTTTTCGAGTCAGATTTTACTCCAAAGTAAAGTAAATTTGAAGTAATGTATATTTTTTAACAATGTTCCTTCATTAACAAATTACCTTTATGTCATTTTCTCTAACTGTGTGTTCAATGCCAGTTTCAAAGTGTATCTTATATCGATCACCTCTGATGTTAAGAATCTTTCCTTTATAATATTCAGAGGTATTTGGATGCTTGGCAAGAACTTCTTCACCCTCGGAAAACTTCATTGTGAGATTTATATGTGAGACCTACATATATATTCGAAAGTTTAACTCAAAACTTAATTACAATTATTTATTAAATAATCAACTTGGATTAAATAATTAAATCTTTTCTAGCCTAAATATTTCATGTGTACATATGTTAATATATACATGTTGTATGCAACATATGCATATGTGCATGTATAGGTGTGTGCATATATATACATATAACGTATAGGATAATTAAGAAAGCAAGATTGGCAAGACGATTAGATCGACTGGCTTACATAAATTAAATTTAGTGCAATATACTAATATAGCTTAAAAACGATCGATTATTGCTTCATAACGAGCGGTTTCGCGTACACAAGAGCCTCGATGGACAGCTAATAAACGCAAGAATTTCTCCGGTCGAAAAGCGCGGGGTACCGCTAAGTTTCGTAACCGCCCGTTCGAAAGCTACGTAAAGTAAACGATTGCGGGATCGCTTGGCGATACGCGGGAAAGTATCGGTGCGGATTCTCACAGCGAGCTCTCGATCGAAATGCAACTCCAGGACAATCCGAAATCGCGATGGGTGTCTCGCAAATATGTTACTTACTGTGCCGCGCGATCTCTAACGGTGGGTTTCACTTGGCAGATATCCGAGACGCCGTGAAAAATAATAAAACTTCCACAAGTCGCGAAGTGTTACGCTTGATACCGCTCTGGCGCATCGTAGTACATACCATACAGATGGGAGAGGGACGCGCGAGCGCAGGATGGAGCACAGGGCACGCAACACGCACGCCGCGCGTTCTGAAATCCATTCGATGTAAGCCACGCGGGAAAACGACCGCGTCGCCATTACGTCAGCACGGCGCGTTCACAATTCGCGCGCGTCCGGAGAGTACGAAGTCTCTATTTTATCGCGGTGAACGGAAGCCACGCCATTGTGCCGGAATGTCGCCGGTGATTTAGCACGGTCTCTTGCACGGCGTGCATGATTTTGCGATCAACTTTGAATTCGGCGTCTCATTTTCGGATTACTTGGAGAGATTAAAAAAAGAGTAATAAAGAATTAAAGAATTTATTATTCTTTATTAACAATAACAAGTAATAAAAATTTAATAAGAATAATTAATAAGAAATAACTAAATTACTCCAAAAACTATCCTATAATATGTTGCATTATACTATTTTACTAAAGTGTATTGGAATTATTACGATATTCTTTAAAATTTTTGGAGTGTAGTCTCACTCTAAAAGTTTTAAAGAGTAAAAAAATTATGCGTAAAATAATAATAGTACGCATATGCGTAAAAATTACTTTACATTTCATAATTTAAAGCAATTTTAATACAATGCATTTTTGCATTATATTAAAAAAATTTTTTTGTATATAATTTTACGTGCAGTATATTTTTAGATGCTTAATTATTATGTATATTTTAGTATGTGTGCGTGTATTCTTATTTTTAAAAAAATTCTTTTATTATATGGCCTAAAATTATAGATAGAATTCTGTCTTAAACTCTGAAACAAATTAGTATATTACTTAAAATGGACTTAATACAAGCATTAACGATCAAAAGCATTAAAAATAAATCAATTTTCTTCTTTTTTAAAATGTTATCAAGGTGGAAGATATAGCATTTAAAAAAAAACATAACTATAATAGCATTTAAAAAGAAAAGAAAAGTTATGCTATTTTCAGAAAAATATCTTTACATATCACCATACCATGCCTCGTACTATATTTGAAGTATATTATATAATTCGAGATAACATATAATTCGTGCTTTTTTTTGTATGAGATTGCGCACGTATAATCTGCCCAATAAGTTAATCAAATGTAATTAAAGTCAAAACGCGCTACAAAAGATATAATTTTCCCAGATTACATTAAAAACGTCATTTTTGTAAAATCATCCTTGATGAAAACAATTCTGAGGATTAATTAATTATTTTGAATAAAGACATCCAAGCGACGTATGTGACTCAATTATATCTACATAATTTTCATAAATCTCAATATTTATGCCGTAAACATAATTTCACATTTTCAAGTTCTTATAGCACATCGTACAGAAACAATGAATAGTGTAAAATTATAATATGTTATTAACTGCGAATTTAATTAGGTTACAGAGACATCAAAAATAAAAATTGTGACATTAGATGTGTTTACACTATATTGCAGCAGAATTCTGCTAGTAATCTGAAAAATATTTGCATACAACGGTCGTGAGATTGTTGTTATTCTTCCTCAGTAACGCGAAAACATATATATGGACGAATTTAATTTAGAGAATAAAGACGAGCTCCTAGTGCGTATTTCATTTGCATGGTTTATCGCATTCCGCTTGTTGTTGTTGTACATATTAATTTTCGTTTGCGATTTTAAATTTTTCTTTGAATCTTATATAGAATTCCTTCGAGACAATTTTAAACTCCACCGAGTGTAATCTGCATGAATTTATAGATGACATCCCGCAGATTTTTATGACTGACAATTTCAAAGATGTATCGCACAAAGAAGAGACAAATGGAGAAAAGACACATATACTTTTCAATAAATTCTCAACATCGTCTATTAATGCGTCAAAAGGTTGTACTTTTTACAAAAAAGTGATTTCAATTTAATATTATATCATGAGAAAATGTAAAATACTGATGTAAATATTATAGTTGAAAAATATTGCAATTTTTTAGATGCAATGCTTCAGCTTGTAATTCATAAAATTCATATCTTATTGTTATACTTTTGTGTGTAATTAAAACCAAATATCGGGTTTATTGTATAGCTTGACTCATTTTTAGATAATACGAATGAAATTGTAGTATTGAAATCAAAATGTGAAGAACTGCATGATCAAATCGAATGTCTAACGAAAGAGAAAGAAGAAGCACTTGAGGAAATAGAACGTCTGAAAGATCAAGTAAAGTTTTATCTCGATACCAGTAAATGCCTGTTATCTCACGTTTCCATTAATTTTATTATTATCTGTCATTATTTTGTAAGTATTTTCTTGTGTTTATGTATCCTGTTGTAAGTACCAAAAATATATTTGCTTGTTATTGTTTTGGAAATCCTGTAAATAGAATATTATCATAATTAATTTTTAAAAATACCACTTGTTAATTTGTTTGTCTTTGTTGTATCATGCAGATATTAAGTCAGAGTACTTATTGCACAAGTCTTGGTGCAGTATTAGGTAACTTGACATGGCGTGCTTCTAGGTTTCCGCAAATAGTCGACACTTGGTTATCGAACGTAAGTATACCTTGATAATATTAAGTAAAATGGTGTAGTTGAAATTTTGCTGCACTAGAAATACGTAGTAGAAGATAGAGGATAAAAATTTCCAAAATATATATAATAATATTGCAGATATTTCTATAATACATTATGAAAAAATTGTATATGAATGTGTAACTAAATACATAAACAGATATATAATTATTATATGTAAAAATAATAAGTTTTCAAACTATAATTTAACTTTTTAAATATATTCTAATTGTTTTATAAATGTAAAAAAATTAGTTCTATGAAAGAAATTTATATAAAATATAAAATATTAAAATCTCGTATATATATATATAACAGAATCAACTCAGTTACATTTTTTATATAGAATAATTAGAATACATTTAAGTTAAAATATATTTAAAGAAACTTGAAATTTATATATAGTATCAATTTCACATTTTATCTATAAATTAAATTAGTCTTAATTAATTTAATTAATTTATCGCAGTTTCAGAGTAAAATAGAAGAATTTTTGTCGATAGTGAACGGGACTTTCGGTGCATTCGTTAATACTTACAGAAGCGCATTCCCTCCTACCAGCAATGTTGAGTATCAATTTGTAATGGGACTCCTCGGTATTGTCACCAATATATCTGCAAGCCCGGAAGGTCGTGAATTTTTAATTACAAATTCCAGCGGTACAGAATTCGTGCAAAAGTTAATTAAACTAACACCCGAATTGCCGTCAGCACCTGGAACGGTATCTTTAAAAAGGTACGCGTATATTTTAAAGAATTACTTTGTTACATACTTCTAACGCTGTTTCCAGCTATCTTAGCTCTTTTTCCAATTTCTATATATTGTACACATATATTGCCACATTTTATTGGAAAATAAAATTTCGACAACATTTCAAGTACGATCGCAATTACAGATTAATGTTAATGATCCTGTATAATGTAAGCATGAACAAAACTGGCTTACAATATTTGCTCGAATCACGAGTTGGAGACACGCTAAGTCATTGTTTGGATGACGAGGCGTCTTCGGAGGAAATGCAGTTGCTCTGTCTTCGCGTACTACAATCCGTCACTTATGATCTCGAGGAACCGAAATATATTCATGATTTGACTACAATAATTCCAATCGAAAGAATCGAGATTATGACGTCCGCGAAACGGAGTGACATACGTAATGCAGCGAAACAAGTCCTCAAACATTTACAGCACAGTCAAAAAATTTCAAAGTGATTACTAAAGTTGATCGCGTTCTGTGCAGATGCGTCATGTCTTCTATGACTCGTATAAAAATATGTATAAATAATAAATATTTAATATGTATACATTTTTTCACAGGAGATAATTAAACTGCAGTTGATTTCAGATTATTTTTAAAAATAATTTGAAAAATAATTTTATTTTTTAACAGAATAATTAACTGTCTAAAATCAATTTTATTTTATAATAAAAAAATTTAATACTTCATTAATTACATGCTTAAAATATAAAAAATATATCGATGATAACATTTATGTAAGTTGCAATATGAGAAATATTTTTATTATTACGATATTCTTAATGTATGTGCACGATATATTAATATTCATTAAGTTTCCTTTGATTTCAATATTTATTCTAATAAATAATCCGCAAATTACATATTATATCTAAAATATATCTATTTAAAGTTTTAACAAATAAACGATTAATAAAATAAATTTCTTGTATTTTACAACGTTCAATTGCACATTTAAAATATACTGATATAATTACAATAATTATATAGATTG